TTTATTAATTTTTAATTTAATAGTTTTGAATGAAGGTTTCTTATAATACAGTATGAAATTTATATGTGAATCAACTTGTATTTAAAAATAGAGTTATCTGTTCTATAAATATCAAAATTGTTATATTACTATAATATAACGATATATAATTAAATGGTAAAATGTAAAATAAATTTTAATTATATTTTATTTTATATAATTATATAATATAATTTATATAAAATAATCTAAACTATCTCTTATACAGTAGTTGTACCCGTATATAATAATGGTGTGTTTACAGTAAATTAAATTAAATAAATAAGAATAAAACAAACTATAATTTAAATCAAATAATTGTATTAATTGTAAGTAATATAACAATAGATGACTTATTGTTGATTTAAATAAAACTCCTACTATAGTGACGATAAGGATACACAGCGTGAGCTCACATATACTTTTGCCTCCCCTGTAGATACTGTACTGCTTTCAAAAGTTATATATACTCTACAATATAATTGTTTGCTTCAAAGTCTTATATGTGGTTTGGATTGCATTTGTAGCAAACGTTAGTGTTATAGACATTCAAATAAAAAAAAGAGAAAGAAAAAGAGATATATATATATATAWARAGAGAGAGAGAGAGAGAGAGAGAGAGAGAGAGAGAGAGAGAGAGAGAGAGAGAGAGAGAGAGAGAGAGAGAGAGAGAGAGAGAGAGAGAGAGAGAGAGAGAGAGAGAGATAGATAGATAGATAGAGAGAGAGAGAGAGAGAGAGAGAGAGAGAGAGAGAGAGAGAGAGAGAGAGAGAGAGATGTGAAATTGGAATAAAAGGTATTTATAATATAAATGTAGTTTATTTTGTAAATTTAGTAGACAGTCGACTGTATTGAGTATACTATGGACTGTATGCTGGAAAAGCTGTTTTTGACATCAATGCTTAAACGGTCGTCCCTTTGTAACTCTCGCTCTTTTTCATATTGTTTCCCACTTTTACATCTTTCGCTCACTCATTCATATATATATATATATATATATATATATATATATATATATATATATATATATATATATATATATATATATATATATATATATATATATATATATATATATATATATATATATATATATATATATATATATACTGTATATATATATCGCTTATATATAATATAAAGCACAATATACTGTATATTATGTGACAATTTTTGTATGAACGACCCAATTGTTTGGATAATCACAACCAGAATTATTGTTGAATATAAGGGACGAGTAGTCGATTAGAGGCCATCACATGCATTAGCAGACATTCACCGGTATGACTGTTATTCTGTATTTTGTAACTGTTATAAACAGCAACAACATTAAAGTCTGACAATTTATAGGATGAGTTTCATGTTTCAACATAACAAACACATAAAACTTATATACAGTATATATATATAGGTATTTGAGTTTACATTTTAATATGTGAGTTCAATTAGCAATTGTTAGTTTTGTAGAAATTGCAACGATTTTGTTATACTTATGTATTTAAATTTAATGATTATTAATATATTTAAATATTAATAGTTAATTATTAGAAAAATTACACATATATTTGAAAACAAGTACTCTGAAAATAATTCCTTGTCTTTATTCCTTGTTTTCTATATATTGAATTCAAATAAATTTGTTTAAACTTACATTTGTTTAAATAAATTATTCATTTTATTTATTTGAAACGCTGATAAAATTCTAAAATTTACGTTTAGTAAACACTCACACATTAAATGATGTGTTTATTTTAATATTTAATATAATTTCTAATGATGTTTAAGTTCACAAAATATATTGTAAATAGATTTGTGTGTTTAATATACTCTTTATTAAGAGTACATCTTATCTAAACTGATGCAGTGATGCGTGAGTTTGTGTATGCAATCAATGTATACACTGTTTGGCAAACAATCATTTCTGTGGATTGTATGGATGTATAGATGACTACAAGTATTGAAGTATAGGTGCATTCGATACGGTTTCCAATTCACTGTTCAGCTCCAGTGCCACACAATAACATATTTTGAGTTGCAGTTGGAAATGCATAGAAATGCATACATTATGGTTATGGTAATGTCTATAGCTATAGCTGTTACCAATGTGTTGGTGATGGCAATGGTTGGCAATGTCTGCCTCCAAGCGTTTGGTCGTTTGAGACTATTATATACATTGAACAGTATTTATAGTATGTATGTCTATGTGTTGTACATTGAATCGGTCGGTCCGTACATTCTTTTGTTGTTTTCATAGCACTATATATACTAAACATACTATACTTACTATAGTTTAGCCAAAACTCGTTGTATATTTGACTGACTATAGAGTAGGCCTTCAATACATTGAATGTCTTGAAAGCAGTTCTCCCTTGAAATCACTTCTAAGAAGCGATTCTCTCTCAATGTAAGCTATTCTGCATATATTTAGCACAAGTTATTAATTCCTATGGATGTCAATGTCTTATATGTTGTTAGTATACCATACATGCCATATATATATATATATATACTGTATATACCAGTGCTTACTATTTGCAAGCATTAGAGCACACGATCTCCCAGCGGGTCTGTTAGGACTGTCAGCCCAACTGCCTGCGACCCGAACATAGGTTTTGTCGTCCAAAATAAAAGAGTCCACACATTCATCACCTCTGGTGCCAAAATAATATCAAACAATTTATAACTTACTCTCTATTCCCTCTATGCCTGTCCTCTCAATACATTTAACACACTCTACAATATAGCTATGAATCAAATTTTACTTCTATTATAATTTGGTGTAAACGTTAAATCATCAAAACTCAATATTTTCATCGCCACTAATATTACAGAAAAACCATTTGACTATTTATGGGGCAGTTCTCCATTCATCTAACGTTTAATTAATATTAATGTGCATAATATGTAACATTACACACACTGTTTATATTTATACTGGTATATACAGTAATATAAATAAATATGTATAACATTACTGTATATTCACTTTAATTCATTGTAATAATTGTACAATAAGTTTACTTATCTGTAATATATTATTTTTATTTATACAAAACAGTTGTTTTGCTAATTATATAAAATTTCAACAAAATTAATATATAATAAGTTACATTATATTATTATTTTAAAAATATTATGATACATTTGTCGATAAGTGATAATGATATAACGGTATTGTATTGATATAGTTCACTATCATATATGTATTTATTTAGCTAAAGTATTTGAATAAATATATTATGCGTATGTATGTACAGTATGTATGTTAAATATATGATAAGTATTGTACATTTCATACATATTTACAGATATTGTTAGTTCCCATAAGTGTATTGAGTTATTTGAAATAATATTTGTCCTACTTTTACATTAAGAGAGCACCCATTGCTCTAAACACTTCATTTTCAATGCTATATCCAATTGGTTTGAATACCAGAATTGTATTTTTAGCATAAATTTAACACAAAAAAACTGTTAAAAACTGTTTATATATATAGTATTTATAAGTAGTCATAATTCAACATTTGTTTTTTATATGTAAAATACATTTCTAATAAAAACAACAATTATTTAATAAATAAATAAAAAACTTATATATTGCAAATACATTAAAAACATTTGAGTTTTATTTATGTCGATTGTACTTTATATAGTAACTAAAAGCTAAATCTAATGATAATATATTTGATGTCATTTTTAAAAATAAGCTTAATATATGATTAATACATTTTACAAAACAATGAAATGATGATAAAAGAGACCTACAATGGGAATGGCATTTAAAAACTGATTTTGTGACTTATATCCAGTTCTCGTGTATTAAACATAAGTCAGAGCTCACAACTCAAAGAATTAGTGTTTAGATGAAGAGATTGTTTAACGAAAAGTTTTCAAATGTAGATCCCTTTTAATGATAAGATATTTGACCGTCAGGTACACCTATTTTGGGAGATATATGACGGTAGGCACAGTATTATAGCGCTACTTATTTTTGTTAGTCTACCAGTGAGGCATAGGTATGACTTTTGCATTTCATATTATCAATAGTGTGGCAATCATCTGATCATACAATTGATAAGACAAAACACCAAAAATGCTAGAAATAGTCATTTTAGTAGTTGTATTACACTATACACTAAAGTACTGTCAAGTAATGTATACCGTTTTTGTATTAGTCAAATACGAGCTCAAAACATGTTTAATAGACGACAATTTATTCATTTATTTTCAAATCACAGTACAAAATATATATTATATCAATGCAATTGAATGAAAACTAATATACAGATACAGAGATATACCGCTGGGAATCACAACTTGGACTTAGGCTTAGACTTAAAGCTTAACATTTGATTGACAATCTAAAGACAGTCAAAATATATTCACATTTTTGCATTTAAATTGTTTTCATAATAATATACTGTATCTTAAATATATGATATATACAGTACTAATGCAATAGTCATATTGTACAGTATATAACTATTTACTCATCTTTACTAGTATTTAATATTAATCAACATATACTACTGTAAATATGTATATTAGTGTATATTTAAATATAATTTTACTAACAATACTGTAACTAAATTATAAGAAAAATTGTAATATTGTGTGTTTATACAAGTCATTCACGTTGTCTTTGTTTATATGCTTTGATTATCACCAGAAACTATATTTTGCTTTCCTTTATATATTCAATATATTTATAATCAAAACCATATAAACAAAGACAACGTGAATAACTTGTATAAACATAGACACTATTGCTTACTGTATTGTTTGCTACAAACTTATGTTATATAAGTTATAATCATTGGTACATATGGTGAGCATATAATTCATTGAAACACATAAATTAAATGAGAAAATGTGAATATTTATTGACTCACTTAAAGATATGTCTGTTTCTAAGGCCTACCTTTTGTTTAGTATAAAGCTATGAATGAATGATATGTATAAATGAGTTGTGAATTGAATTGATGGTCCGATAAATAATGAGTTAATGAGTTAATAATTATCAGTAAGAGGTAGCAGCGTGTAGATGATGGTGATGATGGAAAGGCATTGCTGGATGTCCTACAGGCGAGTGCTCATTGCTCGGTGGTGTTGGCATTCCCGCTGCCGACTGACAGACATACCATTCACTTAAGTTTGTTGTATGTGTTGTGTGATGACTATTTGATAGGACAGTATTATTAGCATTGATTGGCGATAACACAGTCGGACCATTGGTAGAGCCATTCATTTGGTTGATTGCATTGTTAGTATTGCCTGTGTTTGCATTGTTAGCATTGCCACCAAAAGAGTGGTTATTATGAGTATTATGAGTGCTGTGAGTATGTGAATGAATCGATGCGTTTGGAGTATGACTTGTGGTGTGATTGTTATGATTATGATTTGTATGGTTTGTATGATTTGTACCGTCGCTCTCATAACCAGAACCGGCACCAGAACTGGTAGATCCAGGAGCCCCTGATGGTGGTGGTGGTGGTGACTTGCCGTGAACTTTCATATGTTTTCTCAGTGAACTGGGATGTGTGTAACTCTTGTCGCAGCCCCGGATCTTACAGTTGTAGGGTTTGTCACTGGTGTGTACGTGTGAGTGCTTCTTGCGATCGGAACTGTTGGCAAATTTTCTATCACAGCCTTCATACTCGCATTTAAATGGTTTTTCGCCTATTTGTAAAAAACATTTTAATTTTTATATTAATATAAAATACAATATAATTTAGTTTTTACAAAATAAGTTTTCATTTGACTGAATGGCATAATAATGACTTTAAATATGTAATGTTTATGTACTGGTATTGAGTATGCAATTGATTTGATGTGTACTTTCAGTGTTATTGACATATTTGAATATATGAGAGCATCATAGCTATGATGACCCCTAACCTCCCTAACCTCTAATACTGGTTCGTTTCACACCTGCAACTGTTCTCCCCATACAAGAAATGTTTGCTTCTCTAGTTTTCTCTCAGCTCTCACTTGTGTTGTATTTCAGTCAAACAGTTGTAAAAATAAAGAACTATAAGAAAGTGAGGGGAGATAAGAGTCCTCAACACTTAAAGAGATTGCTTTGGGATGAGTGAGTCACTGAGTGAGTGAGTGAGTGAGTGAGAGTAAGAGAGAGAGAGAGAGAGAGAGAGACTTTTGCAAGACATTTACACACAATCTGTAGTATAGAGTATATGGAGAGTAGAAACCGGTCATGAATGGGGTTTTCATATTTCAAAAGAAGCTATACATTGACGGCCAACACATAACAGGCATTACCAACATTGCCAATACTGCCAACATTGCCATTATTGAGGATGAAATGGTCAAAGAGGGTGTGCCTCTCATTGCAGCTCATTGTTAGATGAGTTAGTGTTTTGTGAATTTTTATGCTCTCATACTTTCAAACGTTAGTAAATGAGCTCTCGATCTACAACTCTGCTATCATTTTGTCAGCGTTTGAAATTCAATCAATTAATCACTTGCATCCTCTCTCTCTCTCTCTCTCTCTCTCTCTCTCTCTCTCTCTCTCTCTCTCTCTCTCTCTCTCTCTCTCTCTCTCTCTCTCTCTCTCTCTCTCTCTCTAAACCACCAATTGTTAAAAACTATTGAAACCTATCAACAAAACACAAAATACTGACTTAATAATATGAATAATTATAATTACTTTACTCTAATTATAAGTTTACTCTATAATTAATACACCTCTAAATATTTTTAAATTACACATAGTTTTAAAGTCTAACTACTTAACTGTCAAATAATAAAGTAATTGTAATACAAATATATTTGTAATATTGTATGATATTAGTTATTTTGTATATGTATTATAATACGTTAGATTAAAGTGAAAGTTGTCTATTGAATGTACGTCAGAGTATGTGTCCAATTCATTGTTATGGTATCACATCAATCGCCTTATCATATGAGTTATACCGTATAACTCATGTTTTACAACATTTTTAATATAAATCATATAAGTATTAAAGCATTTGTTATAATTTTAATTCTCTATTTATTGAATTGATTTAAACAATTTCAATCTCAATAACATATTGATACTATTGAATGAAAAAAGTATTTTATGAATAATATAGTACTCGATTGAAACACGCGTTACAAATGTGTTATTGAATTTATAATCCGTTAAGAAGATTATCATAGAATATATAAAAACTGTTTCATCTCTCTCTCTCTCTATATATATATATATATATATATATATCCAGAATAATACTTAAAAACATTTCTATTATGATAACATATAAATTGATAGACGTTATTATACTATAACATATCTCATTATTCATATACTTTAGTTTTATTGATGCATATAATATTTATATCAAATATGTGAAATATGTGTCTGACTTGAAAATTATTACTAAATTAAAATCTGTTTAAAAAAATTATGACAGAATCACAAAATAAGTTAGTATTATAAGTAGATAAATATTGTTTTACATTCAAATAAATATATAAGAATATAAAGTATCAATTGGATTGATTATATAGATTTAAAATTGATAATAGACTAGTAAATCTCGTAAAGTATTTACAATTTAGTCATGCATTTCATAACGAGTAGTGTTTGAATTCAAAAGTGATATTAAATACAAAAGTAATTGTACTTTAAGTCACTTACATCCCTATTGGGGTCCGATTACTAACAGTCTAGTGATGGACACAAACTAACTCAAGTGTTGGGTCAACACAATTGTATGTATAAATATAATACATATARTATTGAAAGTATGGTTACAACAATACAATCAAATCATATGGCAATAGCCAACGATATAATCAATATATTCAGATAAACATTAAACAAAGTCTACATGTATACTATCTATCATATAATTTAATACARTAATGTTACCAAAACTTACTGAATTGCCATTTAATTAAATCTAGATAACAATAAATAATTAATGTAATGTACTAAATTATAATAATTGTGTRAACAATAATTAGATTGGCATTAATTGTTACTCTATGTAATTGACTAATATTAATTTATTATTATATCAATAGTTAACTAATGTAAAAATATAGAATTAATTTAACAATTAATGATTATAAAACTGTAGAAAGTGTGTAAAATATATAATGTATTTTTATAATACTGTATTTAAAAAATGAATACTTAAGTTAAATAAAATAAATTTTGAAAAATGACATTTTATTAAATTATTGACATAAATATATACTATTGTAAACAAGATTTAAGTGAAACTATTGTATTGTATTCAACAATATTATACTGGTATAGAACACTAGGATTTTCAATATTACAGTATTACTATTGATAGTACTTTACTGTAGTAATGTAATCCCTTTATTGTTTTACAAGGTTAGGGTCAGCAATGGATATAACCATTGGTATTGTTATTGCCTATAACTTATGGTCACATTTTGAACACATGAATTTCATTTTCAATTAGTTCAGTTGAACATATATTTACGATTAAATTATATTATAAATATATACCCAAAAGTATACACACGAGACAATTGCCTAAAATGACAACATTAGTGATATATTCAACTAAAAGTAATTTCCAGTAAAGATTTGATTAGTGATCCTTTAATTAGTTTACAATTTTACAATCACATCATATAGAAATAAAGCAATGAAAATTAACGACACTAAATCAATAATCATATAAGTTATGCTATAGTATATATTGTAAATAATACAATTTAAGTGAAACTAAATTTATAACTAAATATTAAAACTAAGAAAATGCGTCCGATTTGGCCAATAGTGACATTTTATCATTTTATGACACTATATCAGGTAATATCAATAATATCATTAGAGTCAGTTGAATAGCTAAGAAATGGACATTTTTACAACATATCTGAGACTAAAATTTAAGAAACACATCATAAATCAATGGCATTTGTTTTCAAAGCCCTCAAAAATTGTAAATATATTTTCACATAAAACTAGTAGTTAACAACAAAACATAAAATATTATTAATATTGTTTAAAAATGATTTTTGCAAACTATTGATTGTTTTTTAAAATAGAAGTCTATGTTAAGGTAAATAGCCTTAGTTTGTCACACACCCTGTCATTGGATACATTGGATACATTGGATGCGCTCTATCGACCACAACAAGTGTCTCTTTCATACAAATTTATTGCACATCTTTCCACATGAATGGCCATAACATATGCATCGCTATCTTAACTACTGATATGTTATTTATTATTACTATACTAATTGTTTTGCTTCCTTACAAATCTAATATTTTTACAATATAAGATTAATTATGTTATAACTAAATTAAAACTACATTTAAATTTAAATAACATTTTTGAATAAATAACTACTATTAACAATTTATCAATTTATGTATTATGTTTTAGATAATCTATTTTTTTAGTAAAAGTGAGTGAATGAGTGACTGATTGTGTTTTTGTATGTGCCCGGGGCTATAGTAAATATATTGCTGTATAATGAGTATAGCAAACGCTGCTAATAGCTAACCTAGCTTAATCAATTGTTATATCTACTTGTTATGTGGTTTTCAGTGTTAATGTGTTARACTAAAACCTATGTTTTAAACATATATTTGAGTAATTTCAAAATGTATTTTCTAAATTGTAAAAACTTTTTCAAAGTAATGAAATGCCATTTAATGTAATTTTTAAACAAACATTTCAAGGCTTTTTAAGAAACGTGTTACTAATGTTTAAAAAAAAGAATAAAATAAATATAAAAAATATTTCAACGATATGTTTGAGATAAACAGCTTTGATGTCATAAAAATGTTTGGATGGGGGGAAGGGTTAAATAAATGGTTATTTATAATAAGTATTAATAAAAGAGATGGTATAACATACCAGTGTGTGTCCTCTTATGAATTTTTAGGTTTTCACTTCTAGCAAACACTTTGCCACAGTTTGGGAACGGACAGGGAAATGGTTTTTCTCCGGTATGGACTCTGATATGATTGACTAATTTGTATTTGGCTTTAAATGGTCGTCCATTACGGGAACAGTCACTCCAATAACATGCATGATTTGAACACTCGGGTCCCCCGACGTGCTCTACAGTAATGTGAGTCACTATTTCATGCATTGTTGTGAATGACTTATTGCACGGCTTCTTAGGACTGGACTGTTCGTTATCTATCCATAGACATGTCATCTCCTGCTTTATGGGACAGTTCCTCATATATCTAAAGAAAGCGCCCGAAGCATGTGCTGTGTGATGCATATTCATATGATTCATGTGACCCATTGGATTCATTGGTCCATAATGACCAGTTAGGTGATGATCATTGCGTGGAGTTTGATTAAAACTATGCTCAGGTCTACCGTACATATCAGTGCCCGGTAGTGTTAGTCTCATTTGTCCATTCATATGAGGTGGCGGGTGATGTGCGGCCGGGTGGTGATCAAGACTGGGGAATAACACATGAGTATCTGCATTGGTGTGATGAGGACCATGAAGTGCTTGAGAAGCGGACACAAACATTGAAGTTGCGTGATGTGGTTGGACTGTATTAGCCGATAAGGCATCGTGTGTGGCCAGACTACCCGCAAGAGTAGGCATATGTGGATCGCGCCGTAATAGGAAATCACGGGTAGCATAGCCGTGATGGTGATGATGATGGGGTGGATGATGCATACCATAGCCATTCTGGGTTCCGAAAGTCTGATGATTTGGTTGATGCTGTCCAACAGCACCTACACCCACACCAACGCCCACAACACTTGAAGCATCGGTGGGGTGAGAGGGACTTAATTTGATGGTCTGATGCATGTGAGCAGCAGTCGCGCTGTCCATAAAAGGATTAAGCATTTCGATGACTTTAACAATGCTTGAGTTGTKATTATGTATAACGTCTTAATGTCCTAATGTCCTGATGTGTAATAATCAGAAAGAAATAAAAGTTGATATCAGACACAACACAAACACTTCAAGTGTCACTCTATGTGATAAAGAGAACCGCAAAGATCGCATCGGTAGGTGAGCTATACTCGTGCTGTGCCGTCACCAACACAGACATACACACCATTGAATTGGTCTCAACTATGAAATTCTCCAAWTCTTGTCACTAGTATTTGGAGAGAGTGTTTACCCTACGGGGCGGTCACCAAACCATATGACGTATCCGGTGTGAGCACTGCCTCATCACTTGGTATGTTAGCCATAGTGTTATGGATCTAACTATTTAGTTATGAATTGTAGGGAATTATATACTATGGTTGTAGTGGTGCTCAACTAACTGATCCAATAATACGGATTCTGGCAGTGGCTCTGCAGGTAATTCGTTTGTTGGCCATCCCAGCAGTGACGCCACCAACGGTGATGCCAAAGCCCACTACTGCGCACCACTACTAGCCCTACCACATAATGGGCTGATCCCTGTGACAACATATTGAGCTCCAGTACCACCACATCAATCGACTCTAAGCTTCTTATAAATGCTTCATAGCTTAGCCTCTGGCAATGGGAGGGGTTTTCACTGATATTTATGACTCAAAATTTTACACTTCGCTAATCTATTGTATCACTTTTCAGATGCTTTAATATTATATGTATTAATACATTCAACTAATGATTACATTGAAAATTATATTTTAATTTTTATAATTCACATCACATTTATTAAATTTATTATATAGACAAATATTATTTGCTTTTATCGCTATAACAGTTAGCAATATATATATATTTCAATAATGAATATTGTATACAGTAGTATAATAAATCATATGGTATTAATAAAGTAAATTTGCATTTAATCTACATTATTTAGTTAAATATTGAAATAATTGCACTCCGTTTATATGAATTATTTTATATGTTTTCTATTAATACAAAATATTTTATATATTATATTAATTGACATCTGCTTTTCATTTATATAATATATATTTATTTTGTAATGTAATTTATTATATTTATAAACAACTATTTTTAAATTAAATACTATTGTTAAATTTACATACTAGGGATATTTAATTTTATAATATAAATATTTAAATAACTTTATAAATTATTAAGTTAAGTCTATATTTGTTTTTAAAAACCATAAAGAAAATTTACAATAAATTGTCTTCTATTGAGGCCGAAAACAAAATCGACTAAATTAATGTAATAAATTATTTTAGTAATAAAAAATTTTATTTTTAAAAAGTATTTATTAAAATTATATGTTTACAAATATTCTATTTTTTCTTATAATCAATTTTTAAACTTAGTTTAGATAATGTATAAATTTATATCAATTTAAATATGAATAATTGAGTAATATTGTTTTAAGTACTGTACATTTGAATTGTAATACAAATAAATTTTGGGTAAAAATTAATTAGAAATATTTAAAATATAGTAGAATACATGAATATTAGAAATATAAATAAACTTACTATTACTTATAGTTTTAAGACATTATATTGTATTTATATATTTTTTATTAAATGTTAAATATGTTAAATGTTTTATTAAATATTAGTAATAAATACAAATGTTATCAATAAATAACAATTTGATAATTACAATATAATATGTAATTTATTTGTATATGTAAACCATCTTTATTTATAAACACATGATCTTTATTTTGACTTATATTGAAATTTATAATAATTATTAAGAATTATAAAGTTTTATATTTCAATTAAAACAAACAGACGAGACTTTGTTTAATTATAACATTTATATAAATGAAACAATTAATATAGTTTTATATAAAAGTAATAGTTATAGTAGTTTAACGGAAATAAAAATATGTTACAACACTAAAGAGTCGTTGTTGTCATTTTATAGTTATAATATTGATTTTTTTGTATAATATAAATACATAATAATCAACAATTATAATTAATATAAATAAATAAATGAAATAATTTACAAATCTTTGTAGATCATTTAGATTTTATTAAACATTAGAATATAATACAGTATATTATTAATAAATAAAWTTATTTATTACTTGCAATTCAAAGCATTAGTTATAGTATATTATTAGTTATATAATATTTTCATTTATGTCTATTATATTCATAAAAATAATAAAATACAGAATTTATTGCATAAGTAATGTAGATTACAATGAATATTAATATGGATTATATTTTGCTATATTGAATTTATATATTATATTTATAGTGTTTGTATTGTTTGTAATTATGGTTTAAACAAAAATAAAAGCATTACTTTATTATGGAATCAATGTTGGAGTCAATCATAGTTTTAGTGTATTTTATACTTTAAATGCAAAATCGATACAACAAATGGCTTATCACACGCTGAGACAGAGTCAGACACTTTGACAAACATTACAATTTTGTTTCATACCATTCATTATAAATATATATTATATTTATATTATATTTTTTGATCAAATTATTCACTGTTTAAATGATGATTGTTTAACACAATGACATCTTAAATTATATGTATTTAATATTTATACAATAACATAACATTGCATTTCACTAATAAAGATATTGCATAATATACAATAATAATAATTTATTTTATCAAATATTTTAGTTAAAATTTAATAAATAAATACAAAAAATTTTATAAAACATATATTTAATTATTTGAATCTAATATATTTAATTAATTTTACTAACTAATTGTARTAGAAAAATTAATATTTTATTATTCCCAATTTTTTTGTAACTAACAAAAATAAAACCAATTTTGGACCTATAATTTTATATATAGAGACAATTTATGTTTGAAAACAATATGAGTAAAATATATTGAAGGGCCAGTGATCTTGAAGTTATGGAAACATGTTTTGAAGTTAAAAAAACACTGTGAGATGTATTAAAATGTTGGGCACACCCTAATACACCTCAACTTTTAAATCAAAATCAAATGCATTACTCAAAAAACGGATTTAAATGTAGAGAAAATATTGTAATACTTAAAAATGACATTACATTGGCTTACAAGTAAAACATGTAGTTTTAAAACATAGATTTCTTGAAATCATAAGAATCACATTTATTTTTGATTATCAATTCCGTTATTCCTATTGTTGTTGATTTATTTTTTTCAAATCAATTGTCTTTTTATAATACAAAGATGGGAATAAGAGACCACACATAATATATTAGAGCTCATCCATCTATACAAATGCATAAACGATTAGTTAAAGATTTAACAAATGAATTGACTATCAAAATGAAAGAGTAGGCGCTTAGGTATATGTTGTGCCGTTTGTTTCAATAGTGATTGTATTGAATCAAATAATTCAAAAATTTGATGAATGACTTGAATGATTGCAAATGAGGTACCATTTGGTTATTTGATTGCATTTAGTTTACGCAATCGGATAAACAGTGGGGCATATATTGAAAGCATATATTGAATACATTTTTCAATGCTTTTATAGCAGACCTAACCATTTATTGTAATCAAACCGACTGTGCGCTCAATGCGGTCAATAATAACGCCTTTTGAATAGGATTGCCTCCCAATGCTTTTGATGGCATATAATCACTTCAGCTATTCATAACTCTACTGATCTAATGAAGCGATTGCTATACAATCCATTGAGAAACTAATTATGAATTTAAATTGTGGTTCAGTCTGAACACTGAAATATAAACCGTTAATGTATTAAATAATTTTAAAAATATCTGATTTATAACATATCAATCTGCTATCAATAGTATCTCAAATATACTATACATATACTATATATATCTTATTTATTGAACCGTAATGAGGGATAACATTCAGTATTGCATTCAATTAATTCATTTATCAAAAATTATATACGCATTGAATAACAGAACAAACATTAACTTTAAAAGAAAAAATGTTAAATTCATATTCATATAACTTTATTATCACTTTTAATACTATTGCAAATTTTTAAAATAGACATATAGTATATATAATAGAAAACACTCACTATTGTTTTATACATTACAGCATCACATTAATTTAGTGAATTAATATATAATATATACAAAAATATGAATATTATATTTAATATCATACCTTTAGTTTAATGTGTAATACTGTAATTGACAATTATGTTTAAATTAAAGACAACTGAGATGTGCATCGCTGTGAAGTATGCTTAGAGTAAATGTACTGTAGTTTCACTCAAATTACTGGTCATTTGCAAACAACTGGTGCTAATGTCGGAGATCCTTAAAATTAAGCCATAAATAGTGACACAATTTTTAAGAACCAATATTTGTAGAATAAGTGTCACACATATATAACTATCTCTTTTTAGATTATTATTATTTTATACAATATTTTATTAAAATATATAGTTTGAATAATATATATATATATTGTTAAAATATGTGAAATAATTGTCAGAACATTGTATACTTGTCTATGAATTTCCTTTTAAAATGATTTACTAATACCAAGAACGACATTATATGTCTGAACCAGTCTTTCTATTAGGTCATCATTTGGATGAATTAGATTCAACATCAATGACGAGTAAAACATTCATTTAAATTAATTTTTGATTAAATTGCATATTGAATACATTTTAAAGATGAATTAATCATATAATATGATACATAAGCAAAAAATATGACTTATAAAATATTTACTTTTATATAAATCATTTATGTCTCGAGTGAATTACAACAAATAACATAATTAATACTTATGTTTGTTTAAATGAAAGTTCTTTAGTAATATTTTGTATGCAATTATTGTATGCAATTGTATTTTTTATTTTATAAGTATTAAAAATATTTAATTAAATAATAAAAATAATATATATATATAAATTTAGTGTATTTTATTATTTATTGTAATATTTTATATGAATTTACTGTAATCATATAAGATTATATTATATTTAGTTTTGTTACTAAAAAATACCATATAATGTAAGATTTCTTTTTATTATAATTTATATTTTAATAAAATTGTCTCAAATAGCGATAAAAAAGAAAATAAATTAAATATAATATAGAGTAGACATTATGTGAAAAGTTTGGTTTAATATACTGTAGAAGTGTTGATGAAAAGAATATATATATACTCACTCCATACACATACACACAAACACGTTTACAGTATATAATTATAATATAGAAAGAGAGAGAGAGAGAGAGAGAGAGAGAGAGAGAGAGAGAGAGAGAGAGAGAGAGAGAGAGTTGATAGCATATAATATAAGAAGATCTACTGTTTTAAGGCTTTATTTATATATACAGAATATGACTGAATTTAGTTTGTAATATCAGTGATGTTGTAAAGCAATGGCAGCGAAGGCTCACATTTTTCATGAGATTTTCTCAGTGGGCGTCCGGAAAGTGACGCGAAAAATGCAGACTTTTAGGGATTTACTAAAAAAACAACGAATATTCTGATTGAAGTATTATTAGAAAAGAGAGGCCCAGGATATGGCTTATGGGTTGCCTATAGTTTTGCACTGTTTTGTCAATACTTTGACACACACTCTTATCTTTGCATATCAAACATTATGTATCATTTGTTTTAACTTCTATTTAATTACTTTATATTTATGTATTTATATAGTATTTTCATCGAATATACTGTTTATTAAATCAATATATTATATGTTATATATATTATGTTATTATAGTTTATATTATTGGTATTATTCAATTCAAATGAATTATTTATCTTTATCTTAATATATTTATTGAATTCAAGTGAATGCAGAACTTATATTTGCTTTATTTATATTTATTTCAAAAAATATTCTGTATTATGAAAGCGAGATCTTCACGCTGTGTATGTATGTATGTATGTATTTGTGTGTGTGTGTGTGTGTGTGTGTGTGTGTGTGTGTGTGTGTGTGTGTGTGTGTGTGTGTGTGTGTGTGTGTGTGTGTGTGTGTTAGGGATGCCCTAAAGCATATATAAACTAATGTGATGTTTATGTGATTTTCTATTCATTTCTATATATTTCACAACAAATACCATAAAGAAAATAAAGTCTGAGAAACCATTATTTCTAGCATTGGGTTCATTTCTATAGATTCAAACCCTCATTTCAAACAAAACATACATTATATATGACCTCATATTCAATATTAGATTTAAAAAACTACATAAATTATAATATTTTTATTGAATTTGAGCTCTTTATTTAATAACAAATAAATTGCATGAATAGACATTCATTCACTTGATTTGGTTTACATTAGGTTTTATTTATTATATTGTATAATAATGTATTGTATAATCTTATAGCTTACATATCGTATTATTTTTAATAATATTGTGTTTCATATTAAAATGCATTCAAAATATACTTTATTCATATATACACAAGTATTATGTTTATTCTTGTATTTCTATATACTTTAATTTAAATGCATAAAAAGCACGTGAATTGATATTGCAATTGAAAAAATAATTTATTATTCAAACTTTGATCACACAAAACATTGAATTTTAAAAATCCGTTTTCAGATACAAAATCCAAATAAAATGCCAAAAAACAAGAAACAGAAAGTCTGTGCAAAAATTGAAAAGTCTGAGTATTGCGTGGATTCATATAAAGAGAAAACTAAAAACAAATCAGAATTTCTGGTTTTGGATGAATTTCCTCAACGAATACTTCAGATCCAACATCTGCTATCTGAAGACGAATTCAATTTGAAAACTATATTTTCACACAAAACCGATGTCAATATCCCGGTTCCCGACAAACCCATTAGTAATCAACAATACAATGTCTACAGTAATGGTTGCAATGCTTTTATCTTTCCTAAAGGTTTGGTAAAATCAAATCAATTAATCCAAAAATTGGTGGCTCTATTAAAACCAAAAGCATTGCAATTGATAAATGACGCAAATTTGGTAAAAATGGGTATTTCTTTGATGATACCTAAGATTGAAGACGGAAACAATTTCGGTGTTGCCATTCAACAGGAGATACTACTCGTTGTGGCTATTGTTGAGCTAAAGACAGAGCAACAATTGGAACAGTTTGTTGAATATTACCGCAAAAGAGCTGAATTGGTTGCAAAAGTGGCCAAATATCCGCACATTATTGACTACCGCAATGCTGTCCAAGAATTGGACCGCAAGTTTCATCTCTATTTGTGTCTACTGGCCGTCGATCTGCGTAATCATTACATCAGTTTACACGACTTATTCATCAAAAATCTGAACAAAATCAGAAATCCTCGAAATTCAGACGATCACCAAATTGTGTGTTAATTCAAAGTTATTATTTTATTACAATATTTTCAAACAATTGCTAAATTCTCTTTTGTTTAATTTTTATGATAAATATTTATTATACATTTTTACATTTATCTTATGTTAACAAAATATACAAAAAACAGAATAATTGTTTTAATTTGATTAAAATGAATGTCTAATTTTGCAATCTTATATTTTTGTTTAAAATATGCAAATAGAGTTTAATTTATTGTCTAATGTTATATAACTATTTTATGTTATATAACTGTTATGTTCTGCATATTTTCATGTCTATATTAATCTAATATTTTTTATTATAATCTCACAACAACATAAATATACCGGTAGTATAATATATCAATTATTAACTTCAATAAACTTAATTTACACTTTATATATTATTATTTTATTTAATATTGATTATGTTAAATAATTAAAAAACACTTATACCATTGCATTTAAATTATTTAAAGTTGCCTCAATAGCTCATGTAGTTAGGGAGTCGCTCTCTCGACTGGAGGGTTGTGAGCTCGAGTCTCACTTAGGTAGCACTTTGTGCGGCATTTTAAAGCTTTAAATACTATTTAACACAAACACTAATAATAGTGTTATATTGGTATAAAAACACCATTTTATGGAAGACCAGCAAATTATAGTTATCTGAATACGATAAGTGTATAAATAAAGACATTATTATTTTAGTTAATTTTCAATTATGATTACATTATTGGGACTACAAAATAAAATAAAGAAGACTTTATTATTATTATTATTAATAATAAGAAATTTTAATATTTTTAAAAAATGAATATTTTAAATTGTTCATTTTTAAAATTTTTTATAATACTTATATTTGTACTAAATTATATAAGAATAAATATACTAAAAAATAAATGAGTCAACTAATAAAGTTATAGCAAACTTAAATAACAAAAATGAAGTGATCATAACTTTGAAATATAAATTATTATTTAAAATATTTGCAAATATTATCTAAAAATTACAAAATTACAAATATTAAATTGTAAAAATACTAAAATATATTTTCTTTTCTAATGATGAATGATTTTAAGAGAAAATTGGAGCAAATTTTTTGGGGAACTTTCCAAGGGAGGGAATTTGCCAAAACTCTAAAAACATCATATTTAATTTTTCTATTATATTTTATAATTTAATCTGTTTTTTATTTTTATAATAAAATAAAGTCAATTTAAAACATTATGGTAAAATAATAAATATTAAACTTTTTTTTATTAATTAGAATAAATAAATTTTTGAAAAATAATAATTTATAAAAATCTTTACAATAATAATAATTTTCAATTTTGACAATTATAAATTATATATCACTTAAATATTAATTTTGAATATCTATAGTGTTTGTTATTTTTCATATTTGTCTATAATTTTATAAACAATTTTTACATACGGTATTATAGCAATATTTTCGTTACGAAAATATTATTGTATTTAATGTTTGATCACTTTTTTCTATAAAATTACATTATTTTAAATCATTGTCCAAACAATTAATGGTATAATATTTGGGTGGCCTTTACTACTATTCAATTTAAGGATGAGATCAATAAAAAACTTATTTCAAGATTTGATGTTTATTTCAAATGATATGTATATACTGTATATCAATGATGGACTGGTACTGTGTGATGAATAGGGTTGGGGTGCATATGTCGGTCCATTGAAACACAAGTACTATATCTTTATTGAATAGTCACTGATATTCTGTAATTCTATGATTTAACTCTGCATTGCAACTGTTATTCACAAATTTTATCAAATACTGACAAAACCACAGATAATATAATCAAATGTTTACATGTTTTGGTATAACATCTCCATTATAGGTAAAACAAGTAAAAACATTCTCTAATACAAAGAAAAATTGAATTTATTTTTAGTGAATTTTTTTCATTTTCAAACCTTAATTAAATTAACCGATTCATTAATTTGCACAAAAAATGTTATTTTTATTAAATGAATACAATGTATTTGTTACAAGAAATAGAGGGGACTGTTATGCAGTAATAATGGTATAATGTTGTGTTGTGTGCCCACCCGCTAATCGTTAATCTCTTTTTCTCGTAAATCTGTTTATATTAGAGAATGATTGCCCAAAAAGCCCTAAATTTAAAGCAATATTGTGACCAAACTTTAGCATAATAGTCACTGTAATAGAAAATATATATCAATAAATAGTCATTTGAAAGCTTATAGTTTAATATTTGATTTGTGTGAATGATGTTATTGCCGTCAGTCCATATACAGTATATACATCCATATACCCCACACATCCATATAATGTATAATACTATATACTGGTGTTTGGCAAGTGTTAGTCAAATGTAATAATCAATGAATGGTCTGCACGTGCATCACATCCCAGTTCTTAATCAATCGTGTGATTCATTTCTGACTTGACTTTTAATATAGAGATCCTTTTGTTGCATAAATTCATTTAAACGTGTATTACATATAACACAATTCACTACAATATTAAACACTGATTCACATCACATATAATAGATATAAATCAATGCTTATTAAACCTTTAGCTAATGTTATTTCATTTTATTATTTTTGTATTTATATACAGTATACAGTATAGTACATGTTAAATTTAACTTTAATATTAACTTTTTATAATAAATGAGTGTCACTTAATAATAAAATATGATTTGATCATGGTCAAAATTATATTGTAATTTAAATATAATATTAAATAGTTTTAGTATATTATATGGCAAATTAAATAAGCAAATGTTGTAAAATATAATATATTGCAAATAATATGTTATGTAAAGATATTAAAAAAAATATGAGAGTGTGTGACTTGAAATGAAGTTTATTTGAATTTTAAAGTTTATGGTATAATCAGTAAACTGATGACCACCTCTGGCTTTTATAAGTAATATACGACACAATATCTTAAATACGTTTATATAGTGTTAGACTCAATCACATAAACAAATGGCTTAAATTTTTTTCTACTTAAACAACATATATGTGACATCCTTTTAGAGGATAATAAAAAAGTTTTTGAAAACGTTTGACTCTCTATTCTCATTAGAGATCAAATGTAGTGATAAGTCAAATGAGAAGATACGATACGACCACCAGTTATAATGTTAGCCCCGAAGCACTTGTTAGCTATAGTAACAAAATACCAATAAATAGTAAAAAGTGGTTTGCATTTAGATTATACACAGCTTTCCGACTAATAAAATAAATACTAAATTTCGGTCAAAAATAAAATAAATATTCCTTAAAACTCTCTCAAAACTCGACATTTGACATCCAATTCAAAGAAACGCATTTAATATGTTTGGTTCAAAATCTCTATAAAAAGAGTTATAAATTTTACGAATAAACTAATTTCCAAAATTTATTTTTAAAAATTAATTATTTTTAAATAATATAAAATTTTAATTTTTTATCTTTAAATTTAGAATCTATTAAATAACTGTTAGACTACAAGCATCCAAACCATTAGATTGTGTTTAAAGATAATCAATACAAGAATCTCTTAAATAGTGTCACATAAATAGTCAGTGAATTTGATAATTGAGTGCATATTTTATAGAGCTATCAGACAAACCATCAACAGATCAAAACACTTGTGTAATGCAAAACCAAAACATAATCACTAATATAATGAGATATCTTGTTTTGAAACACTACTGATTGTTTAAAACATATAAAACAATTGTATAGTACTGTACTGTACTGCAGATAGTCATATAAAGCCTAACTTATCAATTCATAGCATCTTATATATGAATGTTTTGTCAAATAGTCTACAATAAGCAAAGGCTGGCAACAACTGAACGACTAAACGACTTAAAGGACTACTCGAGTGAAAGTAATCTATTTTATCGTTGGCTCTGATGTCTTGAATTGACGTTTTAACCAAATTAGTTGAGAGAACTCTTAAGAGACAATAACTGAGTTCAAGTATATGTGGTCTACAATAGCCGTTAGCTATACATTGCAATTGTGAATACATTATAAATATATGAAAAGAAAACTAAAAATACAGTCCAAAGTCGAGAGAGAGGCGACGCTAGTCTGACATTCTTCAGCTAAACGTTTGTTCAATTTTCAGATACTTTTGGACATATAGTGCCGGTTGACAGCAATACATAGCTCGTGTTATTGGTCTTATGGTCTCATTATTGCCATTCAATGGTATGGACTTTAGGACAACAATAAATTGCTATTGAATTATGTCTGAACTGAACACCTTAATTGAATTTTTCTCATAGCTTACTGTAAGAGAGAGAGAGAGAGAGAGAGAGAGAGAGAGAGAGAGAGAGAGAGAGAGAGAAGGATTTGTTTATCCAAAACAGGTATAACTTAAGGAATAAATAATGAGTGAAACACTCGGATGTCTGGATTCCTGAGAAAATTCTTCATTTCTCTCACTCTCTCATCCAATCATTTATATATAAGTTATATATATATATATATATATATAAAGACCTTCGAAATGTTTGTCTAATAAATTGATGTTTCAATGATTTGAAATATTGTTTCACAATGTTATATATGTTTACTAAAAATACTTTCAAACCATCCATTTTCACGACCTATCAAATGCTTATAACAGATCATAGTTTCTACAGTATATGTTTTTAATATACTCAAGAGAAAGAGAGAGAGAGAGAGAGAGAGAGAGAGAGAGAGAGAGAGAGATCCAGTATAAACTCACTTAATATTTTTATATCACACATTCAATACATTTTATCCATTTTATACTTTAAGACATTTTTATATTAATTCAAAAAGTAGTTATTCTTCGTTCAAAATATTTTTAGACTTTCTAAGAAAGATTTTGATATTTTTATTGCTTTTTTATTAATAAATGGGAGGTATATAATGATTATATAGTGTAATAGTTTACTTAAATGTTTTAAGCTTTAAATAAAAATTTAAAGAAAAGCAATCCAAATATTTAAGTGATACTAATCCTATATTTATTACTATATTATAGGTTA